CTAGTAACCGAAAAGGTACAGTTACTGGGGAATTGCTTCTGTGCTTCACATTCTCAATCTCAGAGTAGGAAAATGGGTGGCACTCCAAGCTAGTACGTTTGATTTGGCTTGTCTGGCAGGAGACACGCCCAGCACTAAAAATATCAACATTCTATTGTCTCTCTGTATGAATGATGCAAATGGAGCACGTCGGCTTACTTTATTTTGCATACTTTAATCTGCTCCAGCGTCAGGCCAAAGTCTTCTGCAGAGTGTTGAGAGTCCACCCTGGGGACCAGAGGCAATGCTGCTTAATGTTTAAAACTGGGGTGTTAGTTTGGTGGTTCTTTTTATATACAATGCAGTCTTAAATGAGACAGGATGCGTGCCAAGGACACACAATCCTTTGCTATAAACTGTTTGATTAAAGGATGCCTCTTTGATGTGTGCTGATAAGTTTGCTATTTTTGTTATGTGGCATTAAAACTAATCACATGATGTGTTGTTAACATGAGCTGCTGTTTTTTTGGGGGGTGCTGTTTAAATTATGAATTGCAAAGTAGGCATTTAAACTTTGCTGAGAATTCCACCCTCTCCCCTGCTGAAATATGAAAGGGTGCCCTTGAATATCAGGGCTCTGCCCTAGAGGATAGTAGTAATGTAGAAGAAAAGGCCACTAAGCATGCACAGAGTGTTTTCCCTCTTCCCACTGTGTAACCACAGCATGTAGGCTGAAGCCCTAAGAAACGTTTCCTGGCAATAAGCCCTACTCGATAAATTGAAACTTACTCCTGAGTAGACCTGTTTAGAGTTCCGGTCCTAACCTCATAACAATTAACTTTCAAATCAGAAAAGGTAGGCTTTGGACACTGACATCTTTCAGTGACATCTTTCTTTATTGAGGGGAATGGTCCCCTCAATAAAGAATTTCATGATTGGCCAGAAAAGTTTAAATAGAAGGCTTTAATATTGAGTTTATTTTGAATTTTTTTAAAAAAGTCTTCAAATTTTTAATATTTGAAAAATTATTACATATTTCTCATATTACCGTCATATCTTAAATAGGTTCCCTCCCTCCCTCCCGTCACCAGGCAATGCTCCCTCTAAGCTGTGGAGTCTTGTGAGCAGAAATTCTACTTTGTGAGCTACTGGCGTTAAACTTGTGACGAAGCGATTTGGCTACTGCGTAAATTGCTCTGGAGCCATCCTTCCTGAGCTAAGGCAAAAATGTGTGAGCCAGTGGCTAAAAAACTGTAAAATAGCTTACACTAACTCAGCTTAGAGGGAACACTGCTGCTAAGATCCATGGATAGCCCCCCTTTTCCAATTTCACCTTCTGATATGTATCTGGGCTCTGAGTGGCCCCTCCTAATGGCTGCCCCCCCCTTTCCTGTAAGTAACCCTTCCGAAGATTTTACTCCATTTTTCTTAGCTTACACTAACTGGACACGAAAGCTTGCACTTTGAATAAAACTTTGTGGGTCTTAAAGGTGTCACTGGACTCAGACTTTGTCCTGTGACGTTGATTAGGCTGGAGGCACGTGGCTGGCCCAAGGTTACCCAGTAGAGTTGCCAACCTCCAGGTGGTGGCTGGAAATCTCTTGGGACTACAATAGATCTCTAGGCCACAGAGATTCATTCACCCGGAGAAAATGGCCACTTTGGAAGGTGGACTCCATGGCATTTGCCCCGCTAAGGTTTCTCCACTCCCAAAATCTCCAGGTATTTTCCAATCCAGAGCTGGCAACTCTATCACCCAGCGAATTTCCATGGTAGAGTGGATATCTGAACCGGCATCTCTCGGATCCTAATCCAACACTTTAACCACTCGACACTCCAAACCGTACCCTTTCCCTGACTGTACCAGCGACAAAAGTAAAAACTGTGGTGTCTACATTAGGAACTTAAAAATGGACAGACTGCTTTGCTGAAATCAGGTCTCAGGCCTTGTTTAGCGTTCTGTCTCCAACAGCAGTCAGCTTGCTAGGTGACGTGGGGCCAGCCACAGTCTCTCACCTGAACCCACCTCAGAGAGTTTTTGTGAGGAAAAATAAGGAAAGGGAGAGTCATGTATCCTATTTTGCTCCCTCGGGGGTGTTGAACTAATTTGTTATGAGGGCCGAATCTGACATAAATGAGACCTTGTTGGGCTGGGTTGGGTCATGAAATGTAACGCCAGGTAGTGGAGATATAAACTTTATAAAGGACACAAACACAAAGGGGATTTTTTTAGTTAAAATAAAAACATGCTTAAAACATTAGCACTCTTGCGATATTTATTTGTGATTTATACCCCTTTGTTTATTTAACAGTGTTTGATAACTGACACCTCTTGCTCTGAATTATTGCATCAAAATGTCTGTGCTGTTGCAATCTTGAGTGTGCTGTTCAGGTGTGTATCTGTAAGCTGCAAACCTACGATGACGCAGCAGCAGCAGCAAAGCTGGAAGAAGAAGCAGAAGACAGCCACTTCCATTGTGGGCCTGATAGAAGCCCTCTGGGGGCCTGATCCGGCCCCCAGGCCGCATGTTTGACACCCCTGCCTTAGAGGGAAGGTGGGCTAAAGATACATTAGAGAGGCCTATTCTGGTTTCTGGTATTCAGGTAGAAGGAGTGAGGTATCTATGGCTTTCTTGGGGAGTGTGAAGGAGTGTCCGCATGAACACATGGTGTTGCCTCATACTGCCTCAGACCCTTGGTCCATCAAAGCCGGTATTGTCCACTCAGACTGGCAGACCGGATCTCCAGGGTCTCAGGCAGAAGTCTTTCACATCATCTACTGCCTGATCCTTTTAACTGGAGATGATGGGGATTGAACCTGGGACCTTCTGCATGCCAAACAGATGCTCTGCCACTGAGCCATGGCCCCTCAAAAGAAAGGCCCCGAGGACAAAGTACTCCTGAGCATGTGCATACTGTTTTTCCTGTATGGAAGAAAGGTTGCTTCTTGTGTGCAGACTGGAATCTAATTGATTTATTCGCTTCATTTGTACCCTGCCGTCTCCCCAGTGGAGACCCTAAGCAGCTTTCAGTGTTCTCCTCCTTTGATCCTCAAAACAACCCTGTGAGGTAGGTTAGACCAGGAGCATATTGTTGAAATATGCAAGGTCTATAGCAGGGGTGTCAAACATAAGGCCCGGGGGCCGGAACAGGCCCCGTCCGGGACTCTTATGTGGCCCGAGAGCAACTAGTGCAAGGGAGGGAACAGGAGACTGTTCAGGAGGGGGTGTCATGACAGGGCGGGAGTGGGCGGAGCCACTCTAATTGTGGCTTCAGCATGGTGGAACAACCTCGTCTGCAGCAGTCAGGCAGCGTGGGAGCATCTGCCCAGTGCCACACCACTGGCTCCCCAGTCCGCCCGTGTGGGTTTTTCTCTGCACCCCCCGGGGGTCCCAGCCCATGGGGACTTGCAGTGAGCATACACCAACTCGGAGCTTACCAGCTGCTATCCTTTATACTGTTTATATCAGTGGAAGCCAAAATTACTTTAGCTTCACTCCAGTATTGGCTTAAACTAAATTTCCATCCTCATGGACTAACCCACTTGTTACTCTCAGACAACTTTCAATCTAAATGGCTGAGAGCAGTTCATAATAAATTATATGAGCTTGGTTTTTCCCCCCAAGCGATTTTGAGTATGCATTGGGATGTAGCAAAATCAGCCCTAAAACAGAGAATGATGGACATGGAGAGACAGACAGATCTCGGTAGATGTCCTAATTTTAGAGCCCCAGATTCTGTCAAATATCGCTTGCAACCTACGTCCTATTTATCACAGCTTGATACTCATAAGTTTAGGAAAACCTTCACATTAGCCAGATGTGAGGCTTTCCCCTCCGCGATGCTTGAGGGCAGATTCAAAAGGATCCCCACTGAATATAGACTTTGTCGATGCGGCTCAGGAGAGACAGAAACTATTGAGCACATGATGCTCAGATGTAACTGGTGTAACAAGATCCGTGACAAATATATTACTCCTCTTATAACAGATATGGTGGGACAATCAGGTGCTGAGCAATGTAGCCGATTGTTAATTGATGGGAACCGGACAATTACCGAAATTGTGGCAAAAGTTTGGGTAGCATGCTACTGCATCCGAAATACACAATCAAATGTATAATAATAGTTGCCTAATAGTCTCTGTTTTATGTTCTTCTTTTACTTTATTAAGCTCAACTGTATTTTTATAGAATTTTGTTTTACTGTCCTAAATTCAGTTATATGAATGTTATGAATGTTATATTTAAGCATGTGTGTTCTATGGCTTGTTGCCGTAATAAATGACTGACTGACTGACCGTTTATATCTCTGGTACCTGACATTACGTTTTATGGCACACATGGCCCGGCCTGACAAAATGACATTTATGCCAGATCCGGCCCTCGAAAGAAATGAGTTTGACACCTTTGGTCTATAGTGTAGCCTTATGAAGAACATCTGAAGATCACCCTGCAGAGGGACAGCTGAAGGACTGCTAGTTAGCATAGCTAGATTAGGGACTGCCCACAATTTGCTGTCTCCTGATTGGCTTTTCTGGAGACTCCCTGCTCCTATAGAGCTTCCTGTTGCTCTTTGTTCCTCTCACAGCAAGTTAGACTGGTTAGTTTAGGCTTTCTCTCTGTATGTTCCATAACAGTTTGTTCTTCTATAATAAACCTACTTATTTTTCTCTAAACAGTCAGTGCTCCACTTCCTTTGCATAGTTAAACTCTGCCAACGCATATGACTGGCCCAAGGTCACCCAGCACACTTCTGTGGCAGTGTGGGGAGGATTTGAACTGAGGTCTCCCTGACTTTAGTCTGACACTAACCACTACAGCAGACTGGGGAGCTGATTTCTGTAATCTGGAGATCGCTTGTGATCCCAGAACTCCAGGCCCCACCAGGAGGTTGGCAACCTTAGTATCCAACCCAGGTTTTAGAACGAAAAGAAAAAGTATTAAACAGACATGCTTATATGTACATGTGTATATACTTCTGCCCAACTCGATCTTCTGAATGTCACTTTTGTCTTCCCGCAGCCTGCTATGGAATCGTCCAGGTTCCCACTGGGCCGTGGTTCTGTCGAAAATGTGAATCTCAAGAAAGGGCCGCCAGGGTGGTAAGTATGATCCGAAACTAGTTCGTAAGAATCCGCAGAGCAGATCCAGTCCAGCAGTCGGCTCCTGGCTCTGGCTGGCCAGATGTTACTGGGGCCCTCCAAGGAAACCACAAATCCTTTGGTGTAGCCAGCTTGGTGTAGTGGTTAAGTGCGCGGATTCTAATCTGGGAGAACCGGGTTTCATTCCCCACTCCTTCACTTGCAGCTGCTGGATGACCTTGGGCAAGCCCTAGTTCTGTCAGAGCTGTTCTCAGCCCCACCTGCCTCACAGGGTGTCTGTTGTGGGAAGGGGAAGGCATAGGTTCTTCTTCTTCTTCCCTCTGCCTCGAAGTGTGGGCAATCCAGGCCTCTGGCCACTTAGGCACCTCTGTTTGTGCTGCTGGGATCTAATTAGTCACACACACACACGCCCCGCACCTATTCATATTTTCCCACACATATTCAAATAGGTGGAACTGTCGAGTATAGGCCCAGGGGTAATTGCCCCCCCCCCTTGACACCACATGTGATTCCAGAGCATGTATATTTTTGATGATCTCCCCGGCTTTGCGTACTGAGTGGCGATGGTTAGAAACCGTGGCGTGGTTTTATGTCCCAGACCAACAGCACCAATCCCTTTGCTTTTCGGCTGTCGAGCCTTGTAGATGTCCAAAGTGTCCTTCCCACCCCAAGGGCAGCAGACTTGTTTCACCAGCCCCTTATCTTGCGCCACTAATGACAGTTTGACCTGTAAACATTAGCAGGTGATAGGGCCGTGAACAAAACTTCACCTGTTGTTTTTTTGGCAACCAGATGATGCTGTTAAAGGCACAGGCGTAGGGCAGATCTTTTTCCCCAGGTCAACTGGCAACCCTGCCGACCTCCTTTATTTCTTATATTGATCCACTTCATTTATCACCTGCCTTTCTTGCTGGATTACATAGTATTTTAAAAAGTCGACATAAGACATCCAATAAATGATGCATTAGGGCTAGGATTAGAATTGGAAAATAATGCAAACAAGCCAACCAGAAAGAAGAAGAAGAGATTGGATTTATACCCCGCCTTTCACTACCCGAAGGAGTCTCAGAGCGGCTTACAATCTCCTTTCCCTTCCCCTCCCCACAACAGACACCCTGTGAGGTGGGTGGGGCTGAGAGAGCTCTGACAGAAACTGCTCTTTTTCAAGAACACCTCTGACAGAACTTTGGCTTGCCCAAGGTCATCCAGCCAGCTGCAAGTGGAGGAGTGGGGAATCAAACACGGCTCTCCCAGATTAGAGTCCGTGCACACTTAACCACTACACCAAACTGACCCCCTATCGAAGGCATGGGTCCCATCCCCAATGTGGGGTTCGTTGACACCTTTCCTGGTGCCCACCAAGTGTTTTTGGAACATGGGGGGGGTAGGGTAGCCATTTGCCCAGTGGGGCAGGGGACTCCCCGATTTTGCTGGCTCCTGCCCGCTGCCAGCCAGCTGGCCGATGGGAGGGAATGCCCCCCAAACAGCAACGTCAAACGTCACGTGACATGCCTGCTTCACCTGGAAATGACGTTGGTAACGTTGGGGATGACGCTTTGGATTTGGGACAGAACTCTAAGGTTTGATGCCAATCTTATCATAGAGTTTTGCCCAAAGTACAGAGCGTCACCCCCGGTGTTGCCGATGTGCCAAAGTTACTTCCGGGTGACGCAGGCATGTCGCGTGTGACATCACTGTTTTCGGGGGGAATGGGGGACGGGGGACGATGACACTTCCCACTCCCGGAACGTCCCCCCCATCCCTCCTCCGCCAGCGGGTGAAAGGGACCTGGCGACCCTCGTGGGGCCAGGTAGGGCTGTTGCTCCTCTCGGCTTCTGATTGCCCTCTGGAGATATGATTGGCTGGGCAGACGACAATAACGTTGTTTCAGTGGCCGCTGTCATCAAGGCCTTGGCTTTGTTCTCTCTTTCACTCTCCCCCCCCCCCCAGTATATTTTCAGAAATTACTGCTCTTGTCCCTGAGACTCGGTCTTCTGTTTGTTTTTGTGTGTGTGCGGTCTGCCTCCTGTGGTGGCCAGGGTGTGATTGTGCCTACTGCCCTGTGTTCGAATTCTAATTCCTTTAATTCTTTTTATTTACTTATTTTGGTGAGTATACATGTCTGTCTGTGTGTGCGCGCGCGCTCCTGGAAGTCATGCTTGACTTTGGTCGACCCCTAGTGGGGCTTGGACATTTCAGAGAGGTGGCTTGCTGTTGCCTGTCTCTGCATCCTCGCCCTGGTATTCCTTGGAGGTCTCCCATTCAAATACTTGCCAGGGTTGGCCCTGCTTAGCTTCCGAGATTTGACGAGATCGTGTTTGCCTGGGCTCTCCAGGACGGGGCTCCAGTTCTAAGGCATAAAATACTGTAATGCAGAAAGGGAGAAGAGAATGCAATAAAAGCAAGCTGATATAGACCATAAACGTTGCAATAGACTGCGATCCTGTTCCCTTATACAGCGGCCTCCTAGGCAGTTCCATTATATGGCAATTCTGATCCTTTCATAAATGTGTCCTCCTGAACATTTCTGTTTTGCATATTCTGTGACACGGGAGAAGTACGAAGTCCTTCCTCACTCCCTCAGGCTGTTCCACAAGGTGGGAGCCACAGAATATTCTTCAGTGGGCAGTTCCTGATGTTACCCGTTGGCAGGGTGGCACCTTCGGAATAACTTAGGTCAGACGGGCAAATCCTTTGAAACAGTGTGCTCCCTTTACATTGATCCTTGAAATTCTTAGGAATTTGAAAGGATTTCTCCCAGCCTGGTTGAAAGTCTCTGAATACTGTCTGGCATGCTTTTATTTTTTAACGTCATTGTCCTGCTCTCTCTTTTTCTGGCTCAGAAGAAGAAGGGATTGAGCACAGCTAGCAAATCACAACACACACACACACACAAGTCTTGCTGGGCAAATTTCTTATTTGGGAGGAAAGCTGAGCTCCATCTGCTGTGGCAGATTACTAAATAGTATGACCGAAACTTTACTGTGCTTTCACTCTCTTCACAGAGTGAGAACTAAATGAGAAATTGTATTGTAGGATCATTAATAACTGGGCAGGGAGGTACTTAGAAGTACAGCAGACGTGGAGCTTATGCAGCGGCCACCGTAATGCCGTTCCTAAAATGCTGTCTCCTCAGTAGAGGAAGCATCCTTCTTTTAAGAACCTTAGCTGCTGTTTCCCACTCTTTCAGCCTTGTAACTATGAAAGGCCTAGATGTCCACTGTTTCCCACTCTTTCAGCCTTGTAACTACTCTGAAAGGCCCAGACGTCCGCTGGCTTACATTCTCTGAGAATGCTGGAATGTCTGCAGTAAGGAGGGGACCTTTTTTGCAGTGTTTTAATGTGGTTAATCCAATTTATGTGATTTTTCTTTTGGTAGAAGGAATGTTGATTTGACATCCAGTGTCTTCTGTTGTTTTTGCAAAAACCCTATGCCTTTGAATTTTCGGGTCTCTCTCTCTCATGTTTCCAGTCATTTTATGGCTTTACTACCAAGTTCAAAGTGCTTCCATTTAAAATTAAAAAACACACACACCCTGACAGCCAAACTACACATGAAAAGTGATCCATGTATCCATCAGGGAAGCCAGGTTTGAGCTAGCCTGATCTCATCAGATCTTGGAAGCTAAGCAGGGTCGGCCCTGGCTAGTATTTGGGTGGGAGACTGCCAAGGAAACCCAGGGTCACAATACAGAGGTGGGCAATGGCAAACCACCTCTGAACATCTCTTGCCTTGAAAACCCCGTGGGGGGTCACCTTAAGACAGCTGTGACTTGTGGGCAACCCCCCCTCCCCAAAACTCCTGCCCTGCCCTGCCTGACCCAAGCTAGCCCAGTCTCGTCAGATTTCAAAAGCTAAGCAGGATCAGCCCTGGTTAGTACTTGGACGGGAGACCTCCAAGGGATATCAGGGTCACTATGTAGAGGTGGGCAATAGCAATCCACCTCTGGACGTTTCTTGCCTTGAAAGCCCTCTTGCTTAACGTAAGAGCCACGTAGAAAAAAGTCAGATGTTTGAGAGCCACAAGGCGTGAACAGATATTACCCACATGTTTTTATTGCAAATATGCAAATCTGCTTTTTTTAAACATTAAATGAGACTGCCAAAAATAAAAACGAAAGGGGTAAAAACAGATATCGATGATGATATTTAGCTTTAGATGAGGAGGGAGTGGAGAGAGAGAGAAAGAAAGAAAGAAAGAAAGTGGAAAGAAAGCAAATAGATGGGGGGCGGGAGGGAGAGATGGGAAGAAAGCAACTTTAACTTTAAAGGCATCTTCCAAGACCCTCATGCCGGCTGGCTTGGCTTGGAGAAGGGATTCAAAGAGACAAATGCCGTCTCCAGACAGGCTGGGGGAGGGGGGGGGCTTTGAGAATAAAGTTAAAGTTGCTTTCTGTCTCTGCTCTCTCTCCCCCCACCCCCATCTCAAGCCTACCCAGGGAGGGGAACAGTGGCTGGGGAAGAGAAGACCGATCGGGGAGGCATTCCTCCCCTTCACTCCCCCAGCCGCCCTGCCGGGAGCGACACAGTATGTATGAGAGAGCCGCATGCGGTTCCCGAGCCACAGTTTGTCCACCCCTGCCCTCTGGGGTCTCCATATATCAGCTGTGATTTGACGGCACTTTCTGCCACCTGAAAAACTAGGCCGCTGACCAAGGCAGGTGCCCATCTATGCTGACCACCAATGCTGCCCCTGGTGATTAATGTAGCTGGTATACGGACAACCATTGAAATTCATTGCTCTTTTGCCTCCTGTGGTTTGAGCTCCTCCTTGCTTCTGAATCCCTTGGACAGAGGTCCTAGGCTGCCTCCACACCGATGTTTTTGCCCCGCTCTGGCTCCCAAAGGAGCAGCCTCTATCTCCGGGGGGGAGAGAACGTGCAGATCTGTCCTCGCAGAGGAGGGAGCGCCTTTTCTACAACTTTTTCTAAACTTTATTCAGAATGATCTTTTTCTTTAAAAAAAAAAATGCCATCAAGTCAAGCTGACGTCCGGTGACC